GGGTGCGGTGGATTCGCCACCACCTTTCAACTGGCTGCTTAATCGCCATCCACTTATCGAAGGTGCTGTGCAGAGGCAGGTCGCCCAGTCTTTGTTCTCTGCGTTCATCGAGGCAACTGTTTTTGAAAATGATCAGCACCAGGCGTTTCTGGCAGACCCTCATCGTGCTGCCGAGTTGTTGCCTGCCTCAGTTCGGTTTCTTTCGCAGTATCAGAGTGGCGCCGATCGACCGCTGGCAAACTTCGAAGAAGATGCGGACGTTGCCAGCGGCAGTCTCCCTGGAATAACGCTTAGCGCTCAGGCTTTGAGCCAATGGCGTGAGGCGGTGATTGATCTGAAGTGGCGCGATACAGACAGTGCATCTGTATTGCTGGGCTGGTCGGAAGAGGGAGTGAGCGACGAACAAGTGCCTTCTTACAGTGTGATATTTGCTGACAGCGCACCTGTCAGGGTGGGTGATGTGCTGACGTTCGATCTTGCCATGAGTGAAAGTACACCTGGCGACCTTGAAGACTATGAAACCCCTGAGACCATTGATCTGACGCTGGTTGTACGTGACAGGTCAGGGCATACGGCACAACTGCCACTGTCTAAACGTCGAGCATTGCTGCCTCAGGTACAGCCGGTTCTGTATAAACACGCCATGTTCAACAGTGATGCGGACAGCGAAGTGGTGATGCAGCGTTATCGATTTCCCCTGCAGGAATTTGCGCGGCAGACACCAACCCTGGATATCACTGAGATTGTCGAGGTGCGGTTTCAATTTGACCGCACCCCGCAGGGCAGTCTCTGGCTGGACAACATAGCCCTGCATGCCGATCTGAACACAGCCCTGGATTAAGTGCTGGGTGCAGAGGCATCCTGGAGCTGGCGGCTTGACTCCTGCAGAGACTGTTGCCGATACAGGTTGTAGTAGTGGCCACGTGCAGCCATCAACTCATGATGACTGCCCTGTTCAGCAATTTTTCCCTCTTCAATCACAATGATGCGATCCGCGCCGCGGATGGTCGACAACCGGTGCGCGATGATAAAGGCAATGCGCCCGGCCAGAACCCGTTGCATACCTTGTTGTATGCGCCGTTCTGTTTCTGTATCTACCGATGAGGTCGCTTCATCCATAACCAGAATCTGCGGATCCGCCAGCACTGCGCGTGCAAACGAGACCAGCTGTTTCTGGCCGGCGGACAAACGACTTCCGGATTCGCCTGCATCGCTCAAGTACCCATCAGGGAATGCGCTGATAAAGTCATGGGCGCCGGCAATTTTGGCGGCTTCGATAACTTCTTCGTCGCTGGCCTCCAGGCGGCCATAGCGTATGTTTTCCAGGATCGAACCGGAAAACACATGTGCGTTCTGCAGCACCATACCGATGTTGGACTGCAGCCAGTACAGGCTGCGTTGCCGGTAATCCAGGCCGTCTATCAACACCTGACCACCAGTAGGTTCGTAGAAACGACAGATCACATTCACCAGGGTACTTTTGCCGCCGCCTGTTGGCCCAACGATAGCGATGGTTTCGCCTCGGCTCACGGTCAGATCAATTTTGTCCAGTACCGGCTTGGCCGGGTCGTAGGCAAAGCTCACGTTTTTCAGCTCAAGCCGGTTAATCATCTGCTGACCACCGTCGGCAGCAAATATGCCGCCTTGAGTCTGATTTTCCGCCTGGATCGCCATAGCTGCTAACACATCGTCTGTGTCGGCAATGGCAGGCTCGGCTTCAATCAGACTCAAGATCCGTTCGGCGGAGGCCTGGGCCATCTGCATCTCTGCAAACCAGTGTCCCAGCTGTTCAATGGGGTCAAAGAAGTGCCGGGTGTAAGCCATAAAGGCAATCAGCGTGCTGACCGCCATGGTATTGGCGACCATACTCATACCGCCCACCGCCAGTGCAAGCCCGGTGGCCAGGCTTGCCATGGTGATGACAATGGGTAGATATACCGCAGCGTGGCGCAAATTGGTGACCGAAGCTTCGTTCATGCGATCGGTTAATTTGCGGAAGTCCTGCTGGTTGGCATCCTCCCGGACAAAGGCTTTGCTGGTCATCACGCCCATGATGGCTTCGTTGAAACTGCCCGTAATGCGCGAGTTGGTGGCTCGCACCATGCGCGCGCTTTTCAGTATCCGGCGTTGGAAGCGTGCGGAAATCCATGCCAGGAATGGCAATACCGAGAACACCACTAAAGCCAGCTGCCAGTCCATGACAAACATGGCCACCGCAATACCCAACATCATGGTGAAACCCCAGACCAGATCCAGAAAGCCCCAGGCAAGAATGTTGGAGAGACGCTCAGAGTCTGAAGTCATGCGCGCCATCAACCAGCCAACAGGTCTATAGTCATAAAAGCTGAAGCTCAGTCGCTGCAGGTTGGCAAAGCCGTCTTCGCGGATATCGTGAGATATGTGCGTACGGATTTTACCCGCCATATAAATGAACCCTGCAATAGAGCTGCAGATAATGACCGTACATATAAAATAGCCGACGCCCCAGATCCACAGTTCAGGCTCCGGTCCGCCTTTCAGGTGCGTATCCACCGCATCCACCACGCCTTTGGTCAACAGTGGATAAGCGACTTCCATCAGCGCAGTAGTGAAGGCAAAGCAGGCCAGCCACTTCAGCTCAGTGGGGTAGCGCGCAGCATAGCCCCAGAGTTTTTTCCACAGGTCCAGATTGATGCGGGCAGCCAGCGCCTCTTCATCAAATCCGTCATCATAATTTTCGTCGTCGTACATCTCTTAATCCTCGGGATGTCTCTCACTATCGGTCGGAGCATCCGTCCTGGTGTTGTCTACGTCCTGCAATATCTGTTCGTCCAGGGCGCCCTGAATTTCACACAACCGCTGGTAATTGCCGGGTTGTGTCGCCAGCTCCGCATGGCTACCCATCTGCACACATTTGCCGTCTTCCAGCACCATGATGCGGTCTGCGTGCATCACGGAACTCAATCGGTGAGCGATGATGATGGTTGTCTGGCGGCCTTTGCGTCGTTGCAGGGCATCAAGAATGAGTTTCTCGGTGCCTGTGTCCACGGCAGAAAGTGAGTCATCCAGCACCAGTACCGGTGGGTCTTTAAGCAACGCCCGCGCCAGAGCCAGGCGTTGTCGCTGGCCACCTGACAGAGTCACCCCGCGTTCGCCGACCATCTCATCAAAGCCGCCGGGGAAGCCGTCTATGGAGCTATGAATAGCCGCTTCTTCACAGGCGCGAACAATGTCGTCATGGGGTGCGCCAGGACGTCCAACCGCCAGATTGTCTGCAATGGAGCGTGAATACAGAAATGGGTCCTGTAACACGACACCAATCTGCGCGCGCAGCCAGAAACGATCCAGTTCCGAAATTTCGCGGCCGTCCAGGGTCAGGCTGCCGCTGCTGTAGGGATACAGTCGCAGCAGAGCGCGGATGAAACTGGTTTTGCCGGAGCCAGGCGGCCCGACAATGGCCAGGGTTTCGCCCTGGGCGATATCCACAGACAGGTTGCGCAACACGGGTTCGTCGTCACCGTAGCCATAAGTCAGATTGCGAGCGCTGATGATGCCTTTCGCACGGCCTGTCGGTGGCGTGAAGTCGGTGGCTTCTTCCGGGGCCTGCAGAATATGGTTCACCCTGCCCAGGGCAATCACCGCTTTACCGGTATCTGTGAGCACGCGTCCGAGTTGGCGTACTGGCCAGATCACAATGGACAGACACGTCATGTAAATGAACAGATCGCCAACTGTCAGCGTCCCCGCCAGCGCAAAATAGCCACCTGCCAACAGAACAATGCCCAATTGGCTCATGGAGAAGAAGTCCGAAATGCTCCAGTAGGCGGACATCAGCTGAATCAGGCGAAAGTTCTTGTTGCGGAAGTCTGCATTGCGGGCGCCAAAGCGTTCAATTTCGTGAGACTGGCGTGCAAATGCGCGCACTACGCGAATGCCGGTTAGGTTTTCCTGCAGGGTTGCGGTCATGGCGCCCTCGGATTCGTCGGTCATTTCGAAAACGTCTTTGACTTTACTGAAGAAGATGTAAGCGCCGACAATGAGGAATGGAATCATGCACAGAGACCAGAATGCCAGTTCCACGTGAATGGAAAACAGGATCGGTACCACGCAGACAATCAGCATGATGGCGCGACCAATTTCGATGACGTCGCTGACCAGAAAAACCCGCAGAGTTTCCACGTCGGAGCTGCAGCGCTGCACCAGATCGCCGGTGTCTGCGGTGTCGTAGAAGCCGGACTGAACATGATGCAAACGGTTGTACAACGCCTCGCGTAGACGGCGTGCGATATTCTCGGAAGCCTCCGCAGCCAGGCGCCCCCTTACGTACAGAAACACGCCACCGAGGGCTGTGATTGCAATGCTCGCGACAGCTGCTGCCCAGATGTAGCTGGTGAACGTCAGGTCACCTGCAATCCAGCGGGCAAGCGTAGCCAGCCAGGCATCCGCGTGAATCAGATCCTGCTGGTTCAGTACATCAATGGCGCCGCCGCCGAGGATCGGTGCGCCGAACATACAGATGTTGGTGAGTACCATAGCCAGGACAGCGGTCAGATAGCGCAGCCGCTCACCGGCAGTTATTTTCCAGAGACCGCTGTATTTCTGGTCTTCGATATCAATATTTTCGAATGTTGTCGTGTTCATCCACTTGTTCCTGTTACGGGACAGTCAAATTAAAAGCGTGCAGATAGGCGTCGCCATACGGTTACGCGCTGCAGCAATAGAGTTGGAATGTAGATGGCGGTATTAAACCGCCGGAGTACTAACGCGTGATGTTGTAGATCACGGTTCTATCCAACGAGGCATCATCAGCAGGGGCATAACGATTACCTGGTGCGCGAACGCGTCCCTGTAGGTTGATAATCATCATAGTTGCCTCCTTGATTGCCCGTTCCCCGCAGGAAAAATTGTGCACGGGGGTGGATGGGAAGGAGATGCTAGAGAATTTGCCAGTGGATGGCAAGTGTTGGCGGCATTTGGGTTTGAAAAACCTTATGGCCGCCAACACTTTGTTCTAGGAAGTTTTAGAAGTTGACGACCATTTTGCCAACATTGGCGCCGGTAAACAGACCAATAAACGCATCCGGTGCGTTATCAATTCCCTCGTAGATGGTTTCTTTATACTTGATCTGACCCGAGGTGACCCACTGTTCCATGTCGCGGCGGAAGTCGCCTGCCAGGTGGTTAAAGTGGCTGACAATAAAACCGCGCAACGTAAGCCCCAGGCCAATAGCCATGGTCAGGTTATTGGGGCCAGGCGCAGGCTCAAAGTCGTTATAGACAGAAATTGCACCACACAATGGAATTCTGCCAAAAGGCCGCATGTGGGTGATGGCAGCTTGCAGGTGATCTCCACCTACATTATCAAAGTAGACATCGAGACCGTCAGGTGCACCTTCACGAAGATGGTTCAGGATATTGCCGTCCTTGTAATTGAAGGCGTAATCGAAACCTAACTCGCCGGTCAACAGGTCTACTTTCTCCTGGTCTCCGGCGCTGCCCAGCACCCGGCACCCTTTCAGTTTGGCAATCTGGCCGACGATGCTGCCTACAGCCCCTGCAGCACCGGATACAAATACCGTTTCACCATCTTTCAGCGCGCCTACTTCAAGCAGCCCCACATAAGCAGTCATGCCCGGCATACCAATGGCGCCGAGGTAAGCTGACGGGTCTGTTACCAGAGCGCCCAGCTTTTCAATACCTTCAACACCGCTGGTATAAGCTTCACGCCAGCCGTGATGGCTGGATACATGGTCACCTTCAGCGAAGTCCGGGTGATTGGACTTAAGCACGCGTCCGATACACCCACCGGTGAGTACTTCGCCGATCTGGAAAGGTGGGACGTAAGACTTACGATCGACCATGCGGCCGCGCATGTACGGGTCAACAGACATACACAGGTTCTGCACCTGGATCTCTCCATCGCCAGGCTCACCGACGTCCGTTTCGATAATGGCGAAATCGCTTTTTTTCGGCATGCCTACCGGGCGTGCAGCGAGAGTGACGGCTTTAGATTTCATAGTTTTCCTTGGGTTGATTGCAGTGATAACGGTTGTTATTCGTTAGAAATAGTAATTTCCTGATCGGTGATGAATTCGAGCAGGGCCGGCTGGCCGTTCCGGGTGGCTTCAATACCGCGTGCCAGGGCGGCGACAATATCATTCGGGTCAGTAATGCGCTCGCCGTAGCCGCCAAAGGCCTTGGCCATATCGGCATAGTGCCCGGAGATCTCAATCGCGCCATATTTTTCCTGGGACACCGGCATGATCGGAATTTCGATGGCCATGGAGAAGTTGTTAAACAGAATCGATAAAATGGGTATTCGTTCCCGCGCGGCGGTTTCGAAATCCATGCCCGTGAAACCAATGGCTGCGTCACCCCAGACGTTGATGCACAATTTTTCAGGGTGGGCGAGTTTGGCGCCCATGGCCAGTCCGAGACCATAACCCAGTTGCGTGGTTTTGCCCCAACCGATATAGGACAGCGGTGTGGTCGATTGCCAGAACGGCGTGGTCTGATCCCGCGGACTGCCAGCATCGTGAGTGATGACGGTGGCCGCTTTATCCACCATGTTGTTCAACTCCCATAACACCCGGTAGGGGTTGATAGGGGCATCGTTGTTGGTCAGCTTGGGCATCCACTCACTCATCCACGCATCGCGTAGGGCGGCGATGCGGGCCGGTTCATCCTCGCGTTGTTCAGCGGACGTTCGGTCGTGTCCAGCCATTGCATTGGTCAGTGCGGCCAGCGTTAGCTTGGCATCGCCGATCAGCCCATATTGCGCGGGTACGTCTTTGTTCAGATCCATGGGGTCTAAAGTGGCGTGGATAATCGTTTTGCCTTTAGGCATCTGCACACCAAAGCCCGTGAGGGCAAAGCTGCAGCCGATGCCAAGGATAACGTCAGCTTCTTTCAGATACTGTGCCACCGGACGCGGGTTTGCCCGTCCACCGCTGCCAAGTGACAGGGGGTGATCCTCGGGGAACGCGCTTTTACCCTCAATGCTGGTGGTGACCGGGATGTTCCAGGTTTCCGCCAGGGTTTTGAGTTCGTCCCAGGCTTTGGCGTAATGCACACCCTGGCCAGCATAGATAACGGGATTGCTGGCTTCAGCTAATACCTTGGCTGCCACTTCAATATCGCTGGGGTCCGGGCCGGTTTTGGCGCTGAACGCGGGGATGTATTCCCAGCTGTCAGGCACGTCTTCGTTGAAAACATCTACCGGCACCTCTAACAGAACAGGTCCGGGGCGACCGTTCCTCAGCTGGAAAAATGCGCGTCGCAGCACTTCCGGAATGGCTTTGCCCATGGTCAATGGTTCAGCCCATTTAGTGATGTGCTGCATGTTCAAGGTAGAGTTGAAGTTCGGATAGTAGTGCGCCAGGCGCCGAGGGTAACCCGCAGGAATCACCAGAATCGGTACAGATTCAGAATAGGCCTGGGCCACACCGCCGAATGCATTTTCAGCGCCCGGACCGTGCTGCATGCAGAACACACCAATTTTATCGCCGGAAGACATGCGCGAATACGCATCAGCCATGTGCAGGCCGATACGTTCCTGGCGCACAATCACGGTGCGGATATCGAGCTTTGCTGCTGCTTCAATTAAGGGGTTAACCGGATAGGCGAACAACACGTCAACACCTTCGGCTTTCATTGCGTGAGCAATGGCATCTACAACTTTCATAGGTTTTCCTAAAACTTGTCTAATATGATTTCATTTCTACCAGCTGACCGCAGGGTCAATGTCCGCATTGCGCCAGGCGTGGATCCGCTGCTGCTTTACATCGTCTGTGGCTTCGCCAAGACCATTCTGAGCTAATTCTGAGCCGTATAGTGACCAGGGGTTTTTCGGGAAGTGCTGCAGATCCTCCGCAAAGGTGATTGCGGCGTCGGCGTAATGTCCGGCTCTGAGTTGAGCTTCGCCCAACGTCTGTCGTACGGGGTAATGCCAGTGTGGTGGTTCGGTGTACGGGAGTGAATCCTGCAAGGCGACGGCTTTTTCCAGCGCAGCCAGTTCCACATAACTATCATTTCCGGCCCGGGCGATTCTGGCAGTCACCAGGCTGCTGGCGATACCCATCAAAGGTTCGTTTACACCGGGCATGCGCATATTCAAGCTTTGCACAGGTTCGCTGGTGGCCATGTTAGATAACGTATCCAGTTCAGCCTGAGCGCGCTGAACGTCACCTTTTGCCGCATAGGCCAGCCCGCGCCCGTAGTGCAGCATGGCCTGGCTGAAGGGTAGTCCTTCCGGCGCATCAGGCAGCGCCAGCACCTCATCCCACATGCCAAAACGAACATATGTATAGACGGGCACAGCAACGTAACTCTGCAAAGCCCCCATCTGTCGGGCCATATCCAGCGGCACTCGTTCTGCCAGTTTCAGTGCGCTGCTGATCGACAGCGTTTTACGACCTTCCATCATGGCGGAATACCACAGGAAGTGGATGTTGTGTGGGTAGTACGCCGCGGGATACAGGCCCTGGGCGTTACATTGCGCAATATAGTCTTCGTCCGCCTCAGCGGCTTCGGCATTTGCATCTACCGCATCACTGTAGCGGCCAACACGCAGATAAATGTGTGACGGCATATGTACCAGATGGCCGGCCACGGGTACCAGTCCACCCAGACGATCGGCTGCTGCAACGGCACGTTGGGGTTCAAACCGCTCCATGACATGAATGTATAGATGCAACGCGCCAGGATGCTGAGGATCCGCCGCCATCACCGTTTCAAGATCTTCAACCAGGATGTTGGTGTTCTGACTGGCGGCACTGCCGTCGTCATTCCAGTAAGCCCAGGGCATCAGATCCATCAACGCCTCGGCGCGTAACGCGCGGGCATTCAGGTCGTCTGGATATTGTTCAACCAGACCGCTCATGGAGCCGGCATAAATGATGTCCAGCGCTTTACGATCGCCGCCATCTTCACTGTAACGTGTAGCGATGGCGTCTATATAAGCCTGCTCTCGTGGTGTTTCGAACGCGCGCAGGGCGATGGCCTGCTGTATGGCCTGCCAGGCGGGTGCTACCGCATCTTCAGACATAGGCGCGTTGATGTTCGGACCCAGTGCAAGTGCTGCTCCTGCCCAACAGATACCACAAGTGGCATCCTGGCGTGCTGCCTCTTTGAACGATCGAACAGCCTCGGCGTGATTGAAACCAAATGACAGCGTCAGAGCCTGATTGAAATAGGCTTGCGCCAGGGGGACGCTGGTACTGATAGGAAACTGCAGCGGGCCAATGCCTTCGAGTAGCGGGGCGGTCACGCCGTCCGTTGCTGCGAGCCCGGTCGAGGTATCCTCTGTGCTGTCCGGTTCCGGCTGTGTTGCGCAGGAAGCAAGCAGCAACGCGATGCATCCTGCGCTGATCAATTTAAGCTCTAAATGTTTCATGTGCGGTCTCTTGTTATAATGTGGCGTTAAAGCGATGTGCTGCGTGTGCCTGGCGCAGGCGGGTCTTCGGGTGGCCCAGCGAAACACTGGGCAATGGCCATCCAGCCGTTTGCGGTGTCTCCGCTGACTTGAAGCTGTGTATCGGCGACGTTCCGCACCTGGGTGACGACCTGGCAGAAATCGACGGCAGTGCCGCGAACACAGTTGTTTTCATCCTGATCATTAAACGTCCAGAGCTTCCCCGAAGGTGCGGTGAGCTCAACGTAGGGTGCAGGTTCAGGTACGGGAAGTTTGCGATTGCTGAACGACCAGCCGAATGTCCGCACACCAATGGTTACAATATTCTGCAAACGATCTGAATGGCGTCGTTTCACTTTCATCAAATCGTAGATTTCCCAGCCATGGGCCCAGGTTTCCATTTGCCGCGCAGTGGCAAACATGCGGGCTTTCATGCCGGGACCTGCCCAGGCAAAACGTTCGTCCGGATCTGCGGCCGCCAGCGCCTCACATAACTGTTGGAACATTGTGCGCCAGCGAATGAGCAGCTCTGGCCCGTTGATCGAATGACCATTTTCGGTCAGCCAGGCGTTTGTGTAAGCGCGCATGGAACCGGATTTGCCCATGTCGCGCATCAGTGTCTTGAAATCATCACTGCTGCGCAGGCTGGTCAGCGCCATGTGGTCTGAAAGGTGCAGATGGGCGACCACATCCCATACGGTCCAGTCTTTAAATGTAGACACCTGGGTCCAGAAACCCGTGTCCATTTCCTCCAGCAGCTGGTAGAGCTCGTCACCCTCTGCACGCAAATCTTCGACCACCGACTTTAGCGATGATCTCGCGTCTGTATCTGTCATAAATCCCCCTTCACCCTGGACGCTAAGTTACCAAGGTTGGCACCTGCATGCGAGGCTCGAAGGTATCAGGCAGACGGCGGTTTGTTGTAGCCCTGAGGGACAAACGGCTTGAGTTGTTCCAGCCAGAGCTGTTCCAGGACCTCCAGATCCTCGCTGGGGTCGTATTGCGGATCGTCAGAGGGCTCTATGGTGTCGAGAATGGCGAAGTCAAACACCTCCGCACCCTGGCTGTTCCAGTCACTCTGCAGGTCAGCGCTGACCTGCTCCGCATTCATGCGCAACTCAAATCGATGTCGGTTCATGCGTGCATCAAGATCACGGCTCACGCCGACAAAACACTTCGAATTTGACGTATTGCGAATGCAGTAGGCGCCCAGCTTTTTAGGCTGCTTTTTATAGTCCTGGACCAGGGTTTTCTGGTGTGCCTTACGCGAATCCATGGATAGACTCCGAAGTAGCGTGTTACGTAATAGCCTGCATGATACGTGTATGATCACGCATTATGCAATTAAATGTTTGCCGGTACGCATTCAACTGCAGCAAGCGCTGCTGTTCCGATGAGCAGCGAGAGACACATTTCCATTGGGCGGCAGAACTGTCAGGATATTTGGTTACGCAAGCTTCTGGATGGCAATTTGAAACAGTTTTTGGCCTTAACGACACTCGTTGTTCATAACTATGACGAGGCAATCGCTTTCTTTGTCGGTGTTCTGGGTTTCGATTTGATAGAGGACACGTATCTGCCAGTGGAGGATAAACGCTGGGTAGT